TCAAGTCCTTCTAACCGCTGTGTCTGGAGCCATTAAAATAATAATAAATAAAGTAAAATAAAATAATCTATCTGAACCAAATTTAAAGCATATTTTCAAAAGAATATGAAATTTAAGGAGAAGTTCCAGTGCTGCAAAGGATGGTGGCATCAGCTGGAAAGTCCCATTATAATGTTTTATGATTATAATTTTTGTTTTAATATATCATTTAGAACTGAATTCCAAAGCAAATGAGTGGCAAGTGAACATGACTGAAGATGATGTAGTTCTACTTTACCCACGCAATGGAAATATTATTAAGCAGATAAATGTATAAAATGAAAACATGATGGATTAAAAAAGACAGAAGCACCAGCAGCCCTTTTAAAAATCCCAGACGCCCTTCACAGTTTATCTTTCAAATTGTACATAAATACACAAGCAAGAGGAAAATTAAGCTCCAGAGGAAAAAGAGAAGTCAGACAGATACAGACTAAGGATGGACCTTTAATTTCTTGGCATGTGGAGAACAATACAATCTTTAAAAAAGATTCATGCAGAAACAATAGAGCTGAAAACACTGCACTCAGCAAATGCAGACTTCTTGAATACTAAAAGATATTTAAATAAGAATATATTGAGAAGAGATGGAGGAGGCACAAGGCAAAAATATCACAGTAGTTGGGCAGGAAATGATTTCAAAATATATGCAGAAGGGCTACAGGAGCTGACCCACTTTATTTGTGGAGAATAAAAATCCTTTTATAAGAAGAAATACGGGCCTTTCTAGGCTGTCAATGAAACTGCAGTTGAAATAAATACATTAGAAATAAGATGCTTAGTGCAACTCATTGTTTAAAAGACCAATATGGTAATTATTCTTGAAGGACAGGAGAACTGAAACAAGACATATGTTTTCTTTGTTGATCTTCAACATACAATTTGCCTTTTTTACTATTCTCACCTGCATTTACAAAGAAGCACATTCAGCTGGGGAAAAAATCAGACTCGCGATCAGACGCAAAACCAGCAAAAACTTCTGCCACCTAATTAAATTCTTCTCTTAGTAGCTCTTCCTAGATATGTTTTGTGCACAAGTACATCCTCAGCTATATGGCAATTCAGAAATAATACGGTAAATATTTACGATATTGTAAGCTACAAAGAATAAACTAGAAGCACTCCAAATGCTCAGTGCAATGGAAGTGCGGTTGCTGCTGAAACTCCAGTCTGTTTTCTGAGTTTGTGATTTGCGTGACCTGAATACTGCATTAACTAGAGTTCTTCTTACAATTACTTTCCTACATCATTAAAATGAAAGTTGCAGGGCTTTAAAATGGTCACGGTGAAATTGCACATGGTCTTTACAGCTCCAGATTCCCCCATAAGAGCGAGCTGGGAAGGAATGAATTCTCACCTCTGTTTCTGGTATTGTTTATCTGGAGGAAAGTACTAAATAAACAGGATGACAGCTGATCTGATACATAATATAATCTTCTTACCTTCCAAGGCTCTACTAAGGATTTTACCAAATCTTATCAAAACTCCTGTTTATGGAATAAACTAATAACTTGAAGAATAGGAGAAGAAAATCTCCATATAGCTTACTTTTGGGAAGTGTCATTCTAAAGAAGGGATCTCCTGAGCGCGCTTTCCCTTGGCTGAAGGGAGCCCCAGCCCAGGCTAATATCGAAGCTGCCAACAGGTTATTGTTATCTTCTGTTCATCCTTCCCTAAGAAGGGAAGTAGATTAAAGGGCTGATGCCTTTCTAAGAATGCAGATCTATACATGCAGTGTTATAATACTGGCTCAACTAAATCCAACCAGAAGAGATTCAATTTTCACACCGTCAAAGCCATAGGTGGTGGACACAAGATCTGCATGCAGTGGAGATGGAGCCACAGCATACCTCAGTAGCGTGGAGATCATGTAACCCACCTCCCTTTTACTCAAAACAGCATCAATTAACCACACCCGTATCATATGGGACAAAAGCTTGTCTAAGCCATCTTACCTATGTCAGCTGCTTCTCAGGTAGAACCAGAAGCCCTGAACTACCTTTCAGTTAAGTTTTACTTCCTATGGGACGAACCTCACACTTTCCACAAGTCCCCTACATATTAGTTGACTTGAATGCACTAAAAAAGTTCCAGATTACAAAGCACAATTCTTCACTGCTTTAAACTAATAAGCTGCTGATTTGATTGCAGCTTAGACTGGGACTTTTTTCAGCCTCATTCGCCATCAAAAGCTGAGTCATATATCAGCTTGCAGCAGTTTATGTTCAGGTTACCTTTTAAAGTAAAGCGAAGCAATTGTAGCAACATATTCATTTCAGTTTAAAGAAGGCTTTTTTTTTTTTTTTTAAGTTTAGATACATTGCTTAAAACCAATTTAATTTATAGCCACAAAACCCACTTCTAAAATGAAAAAATCATGCTCACATGCAGTTTTGTTTCTAATTAATTAATTAAACAACAAAGTAGGTTGGTTACCAGGCCCTACTGCACGTAAAATTATTTATGAAATCCCAGTCTGCATTTTACGAAGTAATCAACTGCATGATCAAAGCAGCTTTGTGAGGCAATGATCTTGTTTTTAGTGCATTGGCTCATTTGCGAAAAAGGTGATTAATTTATTGACAACAGGTCTCTCTGTAAGGTTGACAGGATTTTTACAATTGCAGAGATGTAAGTAGGAAGGAGATGTCATGGATGGTTGGGAGCTTTAGTGAGCAGCTTCGTGGCAGTACCAATGGCACAGGAGGCAGCATCTGGTTCTTGTTGCTTCAGTAGAGTACAATAAAGCTCAGGGATTTCTTCATTTGCTGGACTGGAAAGGCTTTGGCAGAGGATGAAGATGTCCTGCTAGACTATAAGGTTCAATTATTTTGACAAATTAATATCTGTGTGATCATTGTGATCTTAAGAACAGCCCAAATATAGAAGTGATGTAAATGAATTGCTGTTTAATCAATGGAATAAAACAACTTCAAATATGTTGTAGTGTATTTGTAAAACAGCAGGTAGGAAGGGGGTTTGCACTACTAAAAGGTATATTCGAGAAACAGCTTTTCAGAGATTTCCCAAGAACTTCATGCTTGTTGATCTTTTTTTTTTTTTTTTGCCAGAAGAAACAGTGAAAAGGCCAAGTCGAGAAGAAACAACAAACTGCCGTTGAAGTTTTGCTTTGTAAGAATGCTTCCTCTGACTTTATTGCTAGAGGATGTTAACTCACCTTCTTGATTTCTGCTTAAGCATGCCAGCAATCTTTTGTACTAACTATAAGTGGTCAGAATCAAATGTAGCAAAGGGAGATATAAATTAATTATCCCTATCTAACATTAAGTCAGTCTGACTGCCGGTAGTAAATGTATAAATATAAAGCCAAAACTTCAAATGCTATTTCTAACACATGGCCAAGCATTCGTTCTTTTTGACAAACCTGCCTAGGAATATAGTCCACTTTACCAAAGAGTTTACCTTTATATAGTATCTGATAAGTATTCTCCGCAGATCGAACACTTGCAGCATTGTTGCAGCGTTGTTATCAATGATGCTATATCCTTCCAGGATGTACTGGGTTCGAGTTATTTCCCATGTCAGCCATCGGAGGTTAAAGGCTGCATTACATGACAGCAAGTGAGGCAAGTGCCCGGGCTTACAACAGCAGCAGCCTTCGTTGTCTTCATCTCCTTCTGTTATAGCCTCCACTTCTCTCTGCTGGCAATATGTCCCTTAGCAGTGAGAAAAAGAGAGTACGCTGCCAGTTATTGGGGTAGGAGGAAACAAACGACTTTTTCCAAGCTGAAAAAGTATGATTGAAGGCTCTATGCACTTAGCAAAAATCTAATAGAAAGAGCTACAGCAACAAATTAGATGTGCCAATTCATCTATGTGCAGCAGCAAATAAAGAGGTGTACGTTATTTATTTACTATCACCTACAAAAGCTAAAAGGGCCCGATCTAACGTTCTAGGCATTTGGCTCTGAGCTCAGCTAAACTACAGACCACAGCTTCTGCCTTAATAAAAACTCAGCAGGAAGCAACACTAAAGAGTCTCACTCCATCAGGCACATTAAGCAAATTGCTCCAAGTCTCAGTCTACTTCTTCAAATAACATACAGGATGCAAACAAAGATTTCACAGTGTGTCAGAGCACTTACAAAATCTGGGTTTTAGCAAACTATCTTGGAAAGCAGGTTCCAAAAATAACATCCAATGGGTTGTTCTCTCTCCCACCGGAGTGAAAGCTACTCCGGATCAAACATCTCTAATGACTAGCACTAGAGGCAGTATATCATGAGAACAGAACAGCTTTCTAATTAGGCTATTATGCAGGCTTTAGATCAAAATAGAGTAAATCTTCCTGAAAAAGAGATGTTAACTCAAAAAGAAGTCATGAGGCAGATGCAGAAACAATAATATATCTGCTCTGCAGACTCTGCATTTCCGGCCTGTGCTGTGCACACTAGAAGGTCAAGCTGAGCCCCTCGGGATTTGGAATCTATGAAAATGTGCTTTCTACACCATGTAGGGCACTACAAATCGAAACCAAGGTGGACACCCATGTGCTCCCCCCACTGTTCTCAAAATATATGAGTTACATGTTTTTGATGCATGGATCTTTTTAAAATTTACTCTCTGTGGGCTGTTGCTGAACTTAGTCTCTGCTGAATTTGTACAGAAACCATCTTTCAAGGCCATCTCCTATGGTGCAAGTTACACATATGTCTTGCATACGCCTTCCGCCAATGGTTCAGTACCACCCCACGAAGCTCCATCAGCTTCCAAACGGAATCAATAGGAGAGGAAGGTGCTAGACACTGCACTGCAGTTCAACAGCTATGAACCCTCCCTGCCAGGACCAACAGAGCTGTTCCGTTGCGTCACTGTAAATGGAAGAAGAAGTGGGCTATGTTCATCATCTGAATGTTGGACTGGGGAAGAATGTAGTGTCAGCTCCAATCCCCCGCAGTTTGCCAGCACCCTGAAAGAGAGCCTGGAGCAGGGCAGCATCCCCAAGGCCTTTCTATGGAGCAGCATGACAGTCACTGTGCCCTCGACTGACTATCCTGGTCCCATCACAACTGTCTGGTCAACAACCTGAAGACCTTTAGTTTGTACCGATAGAAGCAGCACCCAGAATATTCCTCTCTCCACACCAAGAAAAGCCTTTCAAAATACAACAAAATGTGTTAAAGTATTGGTTATCACCTTCTCTTTTTTGCCTGTACACCTTCTAAAATGTATCCAGCAAGCAAAAACATACAAGAACAAAGATGAATAGAAAGATCTGAAGGAAACGTGTAAGAAAAAATGGGATTGTAGCCCTAAGATATAGGTAAAAAGATCTAGTATATTCCAGTGTTCTCTGTTCAGTTTTCTATAAGTGAAAACTTATACTGGGTACCCAGTGTGTGTTCACACACTAATACATATTCCTCCTCGGACTTCAGGGATATACAGTATGACAAATTATTAAATGTCTTCAAGTAACCCAAATATAAACACCTTTCCTTTCAAGATTGTCACAAGGTACAAGACATGACCTATCAAACTGACATCTCCAGTTGGACTGGACATGAACTGGACTGCTTCTGCTTCATATTTCACAGATTGCTACATGAATTAACACTTATTGATCAACAGCAAAAAAGCAGCAACTGCTCTGGGTCAGTAGATGCTCTTCTGAAGTCAAGTCAAAAGACATCGTACTCAAACTGAAGTAGAGAAAGGCATATTCCTTTGTACATAGCTTGAAAAGAGTAAAATGACTACTCCATGCTGGTGCTGTTACAATTGCTGTTATGTTTATTTTTGAAAGTGTAATGGTCTGTCAGTATTATCTCTATTAATAAGTACAAAATGTTATTACTGGAGACTCTGTAATTACTAGTTTTCTTAAGCCATATATTTTGTAAAATATAGGGACTAAAGAGGCTGGCAAGGCAAATAGCAGGTGAATTCAAGAGACCCTCAATGTTTGACGGAAGTGGTCATCGCATGCATAACAAACAGAAGAAGAAGATGCCAGAACAATTATTTGCATTCTCAGCTAATTTGATGGGTAAAAGCATCTCCAAGTCATCTTTGTTAGGTAAATTTAATCAACTAAAGTTAAAATTGTACTACAGTGGACACACTCAATGTTGAACTTGGGGAGTGAGAGACATTCTAACTGGTATCATGTTATTACGAAAGCTCTGGGAACCAACCAAAGGAGCTCATGTGGTGTTTTTGCAGATTTATTCCAAAGAATGAAATCAGGACTGTGCTCTGTCAACATCTGGCAAACGTGCACCTGCTTAACAAAAGCTGTTTGATGGATTCGGGTAGTATCACCTTGGGGATTTGGTGTCTTGACTGCTTGCAGAGCCTCTGGGGTACCCCTGTTAAATTTAAAGGCATAATCTGAGCCATGGCCAGTGCTCTGACAAAACACCAAATCCCTATTCCTATCATCATGCTGCTGATTAGTATTTCCAAACAACATCTTGTAAAAGGACTGAAGTCTGCACAGACAAAATGTGCGCTTTGATGCTCAAGTGCATGTTGGTTCCCCCCCAATTCTTGCAATCAGTTCTGGAAAGACTGCCAGTAATTTTCTCTCATCTTTAATTGAGCCTTACTTTAATCCATAATGCACTGGCTGGACTTCAACGCCACAGATTTGCGTGTTACTGAGAAATTTCATCTTAGCAGTACCTACATCAATCCTTTTTGGTTCATTACCCTAGACACTGCTACTGCAAAGACTAAGACCATGTGCTCAGCTTTATGCATTGAGCCAAAAGGGACAAGTCACAGCAAATGAAGTGTTTGTGTGCATCTTTTACAGAAGGGCGACCCTCAACTTTTGTGTATATGTTATAGGCTGATGATTAAAAGGACATTTTTTATATTGCTTCTCAAAAAATTATCAAGTTCAAGCAACTCAGAGAATTATTCATAAAACCAAAGAGCAGGGAGCAAAGCGTGCACTTCAGTTCTGCAATATAATTAAGTGTAGTACCATTAAATATTAAAATAGAAGAAAATGTTTTCACTGGTAATTAGTAATTTTAAAATCTGACGGAAAACATTTTGTTTTTACATTTCTTTCTGCAGTAGAAAGAAAATAAGCTCTCTCTCTTCGCTCAAGCTTAGTAATTCACTGTGACCCTTGCTAGTACAGATGAGATGTGTAAGATATCTAACACTGGATGGTTTCCAAAAATCCATCAATGCAAAAATGTGTGCCAGCTGAACAAAGCAAGGTCAATCCATGTGAGCTCAGGAGAAAACCAGGGTGAGAACCTGGACCCCTTTCTATTTTCCTGATGCATCAGAATTTGAGGACTGACTTGTGCTCTGCCAGAGTGATCTGACCTAAATGGAAATAAAAAAATTGAAACTGAAGACTGTAATCTCACTTCAAGAGGATACATAAAATACACCTAAATTAATGACCACCCATCCTTCTAGAATTTAAGGCTGAAATCAGTGTGCTTTTGAATTTAATTTTGAAAACTCAGTGAGTGAAAAGAAAAGCATTTTTCAGTTCTGTAGGGCCAGAAAGAAAATCCCATAACACAACCACATACTTCTAGAAGCAGTTTTAATTTCCATAAAATACTTCAGTTTAACAACACATCCAGAATGGGGACTAATTATTGTGGCTGAAGGTAGTGATAGCTTGAGCACTAAGGACTGCTGACATATAATAAGCAACTAGGGTGCAAATGTACATAGAAAGGGCTCGTAGGGCTCATGTGCTAACCCCACCCCACAGACCTTAAGATCACAAATTACTCTCCTGCACTAGGCACTTCAAGCTTTAAACTCTGTGACCCCAACAACCAGTTTTGGACTAGGGGATTTAAACTAGGTATTAAGTCTGAGAGATGGAGCTGGATATGGAGATGGGAACCATGAAGATGGGCTAAAGCCCAGGGTAGCTCCTCTTGTAGGTCATGCAGAGGTCTGTTCACCGACAACTCCACAAAAATTCCTGGTTGCTCACCATTTGCTTGGCAAAATCATGCACATGAATATTTTACAAATAAATGCATTACAGTGGAAATATCTGACTCTGCTCGACCAAGCTCTGCTGCAAATCTGAGTATTCCCAAATTCTGACGAGTAAGGCTCCTTCTCAACCACCACATTTCTTTTCTGCTCAGAATAGCAGCTCAATAAGCAGCAAGTTATCACCCAGAAGAAGCACAAAGAGCGTAATTACAGCCATTGAAAGGCCATCCTCTCCTGAAACAAGCAACAGATATAGCTCTAGAAACACAGAAGAACAAAAACTTCAAAAAGGAGTGAACTGAGCTCCCAAATGGAAACTCATGAACCCCAGAACTGCACACATTCTGGAAACCAGCAACTGTTTTGGCTCCGTCCTGCTCTTTTCCTTATGGAATTGGGATTAAGAACAGTAATTCATACAGGTTCTGATAGTCCTCAGGTTGTTTCAAAGACTTAGTCTCAGTACTTAATATCAATTAATATCAATATCAATGCCTCAAAACATCAAAGCTGTTAGTTACAAAACTGTGATTTGGTTTTCAGCTGCTTCAGGTGGTTGTACGCCTGAAAAACAGTCTGGTTTTCAAACCAGATCAGTTGCTCTAATAACAGGCATCTCCTCTCCTCAGAAACCTTTCCTTTTCTTGCTCCACAGAGACACATTATGGAAGCCCAGGTGGAAGAAAGCTTTCTCTAAGGATGTTAGTTGTTAAACTTGCAGCTA